TAATACTCCAAATTTGAATAGTTATTTGATGAGAGAGATATGTGAACAATTCAAGATAACGCATCGGAACTCTACTCCTTATTGTCCCAAAGCCAATGGTGCCGTCGAAGCAGCAAACAAGAACATCAAAAAGATTTTGAGAAAGATGATTCAAAGTTCCAAGCAGTGGCATGAAAAGTTGTCGTTTGCATTATTGGGGTATCGCACTACTGTGCGCACATCGGTCGGAGCAACCCCGTACCTTTTGGGTTATGGCACGGAAGCCGTAATACCCGTGGAAGTTGAAATCTCTTCTCTCCGGATCATTGTTGAAGTTGAAATTGAAGACAGTGAGTAGGTCAAAACCCGTTTGGAACAGTTAACCCTGATCGATGAAAAGCGAATGACTGCAGTCTACCACGGGCAGTTGTATCAACAAAGAATGGCTCGTGCCTACAACAAGAAAGTGCGGCCTAGAAACTTTGAAGTGGGGCAACTTGTCTTAAGGCGTATTCTCCCCCATACATCATCAGAAAATTGTTGCCAAAAGGGGCATTGTATCTGGGAGATATTGAAGGAAATGACTTTGAAACAGCTGTAAATGCAGATGCAGTCAAAAGGTACTATGTCTAATCCTTCTGCAGCAATAACATTATCCGATTGGGATGACGAAGGCTTTCATTCTCGCTACCCTAAACACTCCAATCCTTTGCTAACCCTTTGAGCCACTTACCTTTCTTTCATTACCCTCTTTGGAACCTGAAAGTGTCATTAAAAAAAGAGAAAACAAAACAAAACAGAAAAAACAAAAGAAAAATCAAAAACAAAGTTTCTTGAACTACGTTCGACTTGATTCCGAAAGGATACGTAGGCAGCCTCTCCCTGGGGTTCAGTCACACCAAAACAAAAATCTAAATTTCCCCAAAAGTGAAACTGGGGCAGACGTTATAATAATTCGGCGATGAACCCACCCGAACGGTTCCAAATTTGTAATTCGATCCAAGTTCTTTTTACCCAAACCTGTTTCAAGTCCTTTCGATCAATCGGCAAAAGGTTTTTCAAAATCAAAGAACGCAGTTGCTTGGATCTGATGCAATCAAGATGAGAGAAATAAAATGAGAGAGTCTTATTGGTGAAAACCTACGGGCACCATAAGGCAGTGGCGAGCAGAGAAATCGAAAATGAGAGAGTCTTGTTAGTGAAAACTCGTAACGAGCACTATACGGCGGCGGTAAGAAGAGAAATGAGAGAGACCGATTTGTGAAAACCCACAAAGGGCNTCCTCCCCGAAAGGGATGCTTCTCTTTTAAATTCATTTTCTTGTCCTTTGTTTACTTTTCCTTGAACATCTTTCGGTCTAACTCTGTTCCGTAACTAATACAAAGAAAAGGTGGCAAGATTGGTTTTACATAGTTCTGCTTGATAAAAACCAAGTTCAAAGAAAAGTACTCCAGCCTCAGCGGGTGCATCAAGTCGATCCCGACTGGCCATAATAGTCGATGCTCCAAAATCAGAGTTATTGAAAATGGAAAGAAATTTGAAGTCAAAGCCCTAGAGGTGGATTAAAGTGAAAGGGCCAAAGCCCCGCACGGTTGAACCGCCGTTTGGAAAGTTTGGAAAGTTGAGTTCCTCGGTTTTAGGAGAGAGATTAATCTTCAGCAAACTGCAGAGATTCTCACCAAAAGCGCTACGCCGAGATTAAGTGATCAAAAACAATGAAGGCCATAAAACCGACCACCGTTTCAAACTAATAGTTGTTCTTTGTTTGAAAAATTGAAACAGGTGCAATCCAAAGCAACCATGCAAAAAGCAGGTGCAACCAAAAGGAAATGCGCAAGGGTTAGAAATAACTATGCTGCAATAATCAACCCAAAAGGAAAGTCTCCTCCCAATTCTTTCCTGCATTTTTACTCATTTTCTTAAACTCAAAAATAAAAAATAAAATAAAAAAATAAAAAAATAAAAAAAATAAAAATAAAAATAAAAATAAAAATAAAAATAAAAATAAAATGAAGATTGATAAAAAATAAAAATAAAAAGAAGAAGAAGAGAAATTCAAAATCATGGTAGCATAGGGTCTCCAATCTCTAGCTACGTCCTTTCCAACATAGGATCCCATTCCCTAGTCGATGCCAGCATAACCTGGTAATCTTTTCCCACCTAGGGTCTCATTCCCTAGTCACTGCCAGCATAACCTGGTAATCTCTTTTAGTATTAAGTTCCACTCTCTAGTTGATCCCCGTCATAACCCGAAGACCTTTTCCTTTCTCCGGTATAACCCGATGACTTTCCCGGCATAACCCGTGGATCTCCCCGGCATAACCCGAGGACCTTTTTTCTTTTCTGGCATAACCCGATGAACTTTTCCGGTATAACCTGTGGACCTCCCCGGCATAACCCGATGACTTTTTTTTCTTTCGCGGCATAACCCGTGGACCTCCCCGGCATAACCCGATGACTTTCCCGGCATAACCCGTGGACCTCCCTGGCATAACCCAAGGACCTTTTTCTTCCTCCGGGCATAACCCGTGGACTTCCCTGGCATAACCTAGGGACCTTTTTCTTTTTCTCCCGGCATAACCCATAGACCTCCCTGGCATAACCCAGGGACCTTTTTTTTTTCTTTTCTCCCGGCATAACTCATGGACCTCCCCGGCATAACCCGATGAATTTCCCGGCATAAACCGTGGACCTCCCCGACATAATCCGAGGACCTTTTTTATTTCCGGCATAATCCAATGACTTTCCCGGCATAACCTGATGACTTTCCCGGCATAACCCGTGGTCTTCCCTGGCATAACTCGAGGACCTTTCCGGCATAATCCAATCATTTTTCCAGCATAACCTGGTAATCTTTCCAACTTGGGGCCTCCGATCCCCATTTGATTTCATTTTAGATATAGGGTCTCCATTCCCTAATCTCTTTTTCTCTAGGATACACAATCCCGATTTTATGGCTTTCAATAAAGAAATAATTTAGATTTTGTTGCAATAACTCACAAAATTTTCCTAGTGAAAATTGGGGCAGAAAAATTTTGTTCGTTTGTTTGTTTTGGTGCCTAAGCAGGTTTTACCTTGAGGGACAAGTTTCGAGGCGACCAAAAGAAGAAGTCTCTTTTCAAATAAAAGAAAAGAAAAACAAGAAAAAAGAAGTGAGCTCTAAAGTGCAGAAGCGGAGAAAAGATGCGGACGACTTAAGATAGGATTGAAGCCACAAGCTTCGCATGTCCTGCCTTGATCCAAAAGCTGAAGAATGTACCAACGATTGCAGCTAACGAGCATCAAGATTCAGATCGGAGTCCAACAGCAAGAACCAGCTAAGACTCAAGATCAAGCTTCAAGAGACTTATAGATGGGAATCTTGTAACTCATAGTTGATAGGCTTAGCTAGTTTAGCTTTTTATTTTTCCATTTTTTTTGTGTAATAAGGAGCTCAGCAAGCAGAAACAACAGCAACAGCAGTGAAACCACAGTTTCCCGGTAATCCCAGCTACCAAAACTTTCAGAACTACACTGACTTGATTCCTTTATAGCTAAGGATATGTAGGCAACCTCCGAAGCAAGGTTCGGTCAAACTTTTTCAAAATTCTTCCAAATGGAGTTTCAAACGGGCAAAAATTGCTTGTAGTTGCTCACTTTATCTTTGCCCGAAAACTCTTCATGTTTTCGAGCAAAGAGGGGCAGCTGTGAGCAGCTTATTTTTGACCATGTTTGAATTTATTCCTACTTTTCTCCACTCACTACTCACTTTCCCCATTTTCCCCACTCATGTTCCCCACTTTTCCCACTTTCTCCACTCACTACCCACTTTCCCCACTTTCTCCACTCACTACTCACTTTTCCCATTTTCCTCACTCATGTTCCCCACTTTCTCCACTCACTACCCACTTTCCCCACTTTCTCTACTCACTACCCACTTTCCCCATTTTCCTCACTCATGATCCCCACTCTCCCCACTTTTCCCAATCATGTTCCCCACTCTCTCCAAAAAATATTTTCTCCACCCACTCTTCATCATTCTCTCTACTTATAACACACACATCAAGACCTCACCTTAAAAAAATTATATATAGAAAAGGGCACATTTTATAAGAGAGCTCACTTCTTCTTGTTGGATTTTTTCTCCAAGCAACAGACAAATACAGCAGATCTCACCTTTTCTTCCCAAGAAAAACGGTCGCACACACTCATTTTACCACGAAAGCTTCTTTGAAAATGCACACCTGAATTCACACCCAACATNCTTCGTGCATGTATAAAAGAGATAGAAAACGCAAGCTAAAAAAAATAGAAATTGGCTTGAACTTTCGTAGTTTACTTTAGGTGCGTTAATTGAATAATTGTCATAGCTACGGGTACGGTTCCCGTAACGTAGTTTGTGACACCTAGTTACTAAAATCCGGAGGTACAATTATGTGACCCGACCACAATTTAATCTATATAAAAAAAAATTAAACGTGTTGTAGATCGTGAGTACGGTTCTCGTGACATGATTCACAATATGTAACAATAATTAAATAAAAGCGGTTATAAGGTAAAAATGCACAATAGTTTAAAACATGTATTAAAATCAGATAATATGCCAGTTATAATAGTTTAAGCGACCGTGCTAGAACCACGGAATCCGGGGATGCCTAACACCTTCCCCGGGTTAACAGAGTTCCTTATTCAAAATTTCTGGTTCGCAGACCTCAAAAAGGAAAGTCGAAATTTACCTCGATTTTGGATTTAAAATAAATCGGTGACTTGGGACACCAAATAAACTATCCCAAGTGGCGACTCTGAACAAAATTGAATAAATTAATCTCATTTCGAATAATGTCACTTTAATTGGAAAAACTCTCTTGTACTACCTTCGGGTGTGTAAAAAGGAGGTGTGACAACCATTCATTATTCAAGGCAACTTGGTCCTTCTTGATAAAAATCATGACTCAATTTGGTCAGCACTTTCTGGGAACGTCGTTCGAAATATTTCAGTAACAGCAGTTCTTCATGATGATGGAAATTTGATTTTGAGGGATATGTCCAATTCGTCAGCACCCTTACTACTTTGGCAAAGTTTTGACTACCCAACGGACACGTTATTGCCTGGTGCTAAGCTTGGATATGACAAACGTACCCAAAAAAAAAGTGTTCTAACTTCATGGAAGCATTTTTATGATCCGGCACCAGGATTGTTTTCTCTGGAACTGGACCCAAAACATGGTCAGTTTGTTCTTAAATGGAAAAGGACTACACGGTATTGGGCTAGTGGTTCATGGAATGGTCGTATATTCAGCTCAGTGCCTGACTGGCTGAACACAGTATACAATTACAGCTATACAGACAATGAGAACGAGCTATATTTTACATATTCCCCTTTTAATAGGGCAATCGCATCAAGGTGGAACATGGGTCTCTCAGGACAAGTTCAACAACTATCATGGTCGGATAGTTCCATTGCTTGGACTCTACTCTGGTCACTGCCTAGAGAACGATGTGAGGTTTATGCTAGTTGTGGGGCGTTCGGGGTTTGCAGTAATGCTAACGCATCCTGCAATTGTTTGAGCGGTTTCAAGCCAAGATCAACTGGTGAATGGAACTCGAAAAATTATTCAGGTGGCTGTGTAAGAATTGGAAAGTTGCAATGCAGTGACATTGCTGAAGACAATGACAGTTTTTGGATGAATTTTACTATGAGATTACCTATTCCACAATATACTAATGTCACAGTTGAGGACGCCTCACAGTGTAGATCTACATGTTTCAACAGTTGCTCTTGTAATGCTTATACTTATGATGGTTCCAGTAACTGTTAAATTTGGGCAGGGGATCTGTTCAATTTGGAACAGCTCAGCGAAGATGAAACAGGAAGGACTATCTTTGTCAAACGTGGCTCACCTGAAGGTTAGAATAGCATACAAGAATAACTTATCTTAATTCTTTAATTCATAATGGTAAAAAGCACTATGTTGTGGATACAATTCCTTATTAATATTAACACCTATGACAATGATTCTCTTATTCCTTTTTCTTTGTTGAGGAGTTAGCGAACAAAGTAAAAATATCAAATCCTTCAAGATAGATGTTAAATATATCTAACTTGTTCTTGGCTCTCTACTTTCAGCTCAAACTAAGGCTACGAGATCGATGAAGCTGATAGCTTTACTTTCATCCATAACAACTTTTATGGCTCTACTGATAGGCAGCTTTAGCTACATCTACTTTAGTAGAAGAAGAAGAAGAATGGCAATAAGAGCAGGTATTTACTGAATGGAAGATTTTTTATTTATCCCTTTTTGGACTTAATTCCAAAGGACTTTCTCAATCCGATTGAGGTAATGAGCTATGTTTCCCAGACTCAGGTGCGGGTATCCGATCTGGGCTTGGATCTAATGGTCGTATCCTTCATAATCTAAAATTTTAGATACTCGGTTAAGCATAAAGGTACGGATAAAGGGGGAGATTCGGTTAAAAATAATTCAAAATTTTCAAAATAGATCTATAAAAATATCCTACACTATGAGATATTATGTGGAAAACTTACTTGTAAGTTGTGGAGTGCATCCAATAATTCAATCTTTCATTTTGAGAATTTTTCAAGTTGTAGGTACTACGCACTGCCATGCAGTAGCTAAATTCAATATTTCCTTTTTTTTTTCTTCAAATTTGTCCATAGATTGTGGTCAAAGTACCCGATCTCGATTGATCACACCCGGTACGAATCCCACACCTTTACTAGTCCTAGTGTCATGTCGAGACGGGTGCGGCGGCTAAAATGAAGAGCCCGCACAACATAGGTAATTGTATGATCCAAAACTTAGATTTAGGCTTATACAATCGAATTTTATAATAAAGTGGGGTTAGTCTTAGCCAATATTAATATCCAAAAGATTAATCAAATGCTTCTTGTAGTAGGATCTCATGTGTGCTGCTTGAATGACAATAAATAACAACAATAATGCTATAATCAATGATCAAAGAATATGGAAGATAGCAATAAATGACAATAAATAGTAATAAATTGCATTTATATAAATAAAATGGATGTGAGTCACCCGGGAAGGGTGTGATTCCTTGATATTCCTTCTGACAAAGATAGATGATGATAAGTTCTTTGAATATTCGGATCCTCCTTCGATCGTGGGAGAAAAGATAGATAAAGATGTGAGAGAAAGGTAGACTTTATATGTATATGGTAAAGTAAAAATCTTCAGAGAATGTTAATGTATTGTTCTTTACAAAACCAGTATCCAATCTCCTCTATAACTACTTATTTTTCTATTTATAGGGGTACATAGACCAAAAAACCCTAATTAGTACAATTGGGAGGAATATTCCTAAAACTAGCCTTTACTGCAATAATAAAGGGACTGCTCGTCCTCATCTTCGCTCCTCGTCTTCACCCTATGTTGATCTACCTCAACCTCATCGACGACATATCGTTTCTTTCACGACGTCGACCTTCTGATACCAAATCATCACGTCCTGTTGGTGAAACGTGGTAGCCTCTGAAGGCTTACTTAATATTGACAAGGCCCATATATATTTATGGCAATTTTTAACCCATACAATTAGTCCCTCTGGTTGTTGAGGTCATCCTCGTGGGCGAATTCAATGAGCAGATAAGGGTAGTCGTGGTTGTTGTAAAAATAGTTAGTCCCTCTGCTTGCTGAGGTCATCTTCGTGGGCGAGTTCAATGAGCGAATAACAACAGTCGTAGTCGTTGTAAAAACAGGCGACGTAGCGCTACGCGGACCGCATATCTCAAATCTTAAATTTCCCGGTGATTTAATGGAACTATCTTGTCAAAGAGACACGTGACGTCATTGGTCATTCGTCATAATGATGATGATTCTCGATGCGTCACGTCGGTTCACGCGCGCCCCTTGAATGGCTTTGTCGTTTCGATACTAGTGACAATTATGATAGACCATTTCAAGTCCGGTGCTTTCATATTGTGCCTCCATTATTTGAATTTCACTTTCTTTAGAGCCATCTTTTTTTTTGCGAAAATTTTACTAGCTTATCATACTTGAATATTCTTCACATTTTGATATTTAACTTTCCTTCATACTCTCATCTTCCATACTTCATCATTCTACAAATTCCATAGCTATGTTGAATCTTTTTTTTTAAAAGTTAATGAGGAGGATCAACCTACTCCACTAGCCGTCGTGTTTCCCGTCCATGGGGGAGATGTGGACCAGCTCGCAGATAGCTCATGGTGTGACTCTGCTACATCCGAGATGGGGAAGGAGAGGACAATGGAGGTCGAGGGTGCGGCGGCCACTGAATTTGGACAATGGAGGTCGAGGGTGCGGCGGCCACTGAATTTTTGTGTTTTTGTTCATCTCTTGTACTTTTGGTTGGCGCCTTTGAACGCCTTTGTATAAACTTTCTCTATGAATATAAAGGTTCTTTTTGGTTTCATATATGCCTTTTGTCTTTGTGCGTTCTTATATTTGTACTTGTGTTTTGCTTCTGTGTTCTCTTCATTGTTATCTTCCACTCGAGTTTAGGCCTAGGGCTGATAAATGTTGTTTGAACGGGTCGAACCATATCGTTGAGTTATGTCGAGGCCGAGGGCCGATAAATGCGATTCGAGTTTTTCGATCATACTATTTTGTTTAAGTCGTAGCTGAGGTCTAATAAGAGTCAGTCGAGTTGTTCGAACGTACCTTTGATTGGGTTGTGGCCATGGGCTAATAGGAGTTGTTCGAGCTGGTCGAACTTTCCTTTTATTAGTTCATGTCTGAGGGCTGATAGGTGTTATTCGAGCTTGGTTGAACGTACCTTTCGTTAAGTTAGGGTTGAGGCCCGATAGGTGTTGTTCGAGCTTGGTCGAATGTACCTTTCATTGATTTAGAGGGCCGATAGGTGTTGTTCGAGCTTGGTTAAACGTACCTTTCTTGTTAAGTCGTAGCCGGGGGCCGATAGGTGTTGCTCAAGCTGGCAAACACACCGTTCTTTTTAAGCCATGGCCAGGGTCGATAGGTGTTGTTCGAGCTGATCGAACGTAGTGTTCTTGTTAAGTCGCGGCTGGGGTCGATAGGTATTGTTCGAGCTGGTCGAACTTACTGTTTAGGAGAGCAATTTCAATAAATGTGCATCGTTATTATTTTGTCGTTGTTGCACTTATTACATCATTTTTCCTTTAGGCAATTTTTTGGAGAAAAATTACATGTTTTGGGTGTTAGCTGGCATTCCGGTCCTAGTTCCAGTATATCTAGTCCTTTCATTCAACTTGGAGATTCTTGAGGAGTCGGGCAATGAAATATGTGTCTGTTCTCGTTTACATCAATTCGAAGTGTCCCGTTCGTCGCCTTGTTTAAAACCTCCTTGAAAAAGCCCAACTGGGAAAAAACTCAAGTGAGGGAAAAAATAGTACGACTTACGGGACATTTGTTATTTTTTAGAAGTTGAAGTACATAAGATGATTGTTACTCCAATTGTTTGGTAGGAGTTTCCCTTCCATAGTTTCCAATTGGAATGAACCCTTGTCTACTCTGGCTATGATTTTGTATGGTCCGTTTCAGTTAGTTCTAGGGGTGTGCATTCGATTTATCGATTCGATTTGACCCTTATCGATAATTACTTATCGATTATCGATTTGTACATATGCTTATCGTTATCGTTTCAATAAGGTTTCGATTTTTTCAATTTCGATTTATCGATTTTTGGGGCTTATCGATTCGGTTATCGATTACACGAATAAGAAAATTTGCGGGATACCACGGAAAGTATATTGCTATAAACACGCCTAACTAATATGAACAAAAAGAAACTAAAATAAGACGAACACCGTTTATAACATAAAAATTGTGTCAACATGCACATGCAACGAAACTAAAGTAAGGGATCAAATGTATAGCACCAACACTCCAACGATATAAAATAAAAATAAAAATACATCATCACGGCTAATTCTATTTTCCATTAATTTGAACTTCATTTCCTTG